ACTAAGTCTTTTATTGTTTGGGATGTAGTTGTAACGATTTTTATGTTGATTTTAGATAGATTCTTTTCGATTCTAGTTGTGAAAGAATTAATAGGCAGGATAATATATTTTTTTGATTCACTGGGTTTTTCAGGAGTGGCCGTGTTTTTGTTTTGTAATATTTTGTGTGCCTTTGTTTCGCATTGAATGTAAAATAATTAGGGTAATGGAGAAGTTTGAAAGTGTTTTCAATGTAATTCTCTTCGTGTAATTAACACGGGCTGCACATTCTTAGAGCTCTTTGGTAGAATCTGATGATTATGATTTTATTTTGTTGTTATGATTGGAATAGAAATTGATTAGGTCGTTTTTGTTGGTTGATTTCCGATGGACACTGAGTTTTAAACTCATGTTAATATGGTGTAGGAATTTTGTTCTTTCATTTTGTATGTAAATTCTATTGTGTGGTTGATTTATTTAATTGATCTACATGGTCAGGTAAATCAGTATTACGAGGATATATAAGTAAAGCATCATTAATATAACGAAAATATGTTGATTGTTTGGGTAAAATATTTTGGAAAGGACCGGATTCGAGAAATTCTTTGAAGATACATGCCATTACTCTACTGAGAGGTGATCCCATTGGTAACCCAAAATTTTGTTTGTAACAAAAATATTATTGAATGTAAAGTCGCATTGATTGGTGATGAGACGACAGATTTTTATTATTCTAGCTGTTGGAAGAGAGAGAGAGAGAGAGAGAGAGAGAGAGAGAGAGAGAGAGAGTTTTATCTTTGATTGTTTCAGATGTTTTTTTTTTTTTTTTAGATTTAGGTAATTTTAGACTGGGACGTTGGTGTAGAGGGATTTTATATCTAGGATCTCCATGAGTTTGTCGGTCAGATTCCTTTCCCTCAGTTTTTCAACTAGGCTGCTTGAGTTCTTTATGTGAAATGAAATGATTGTTAGGGGTTAGAATATTTGTTATTGCTTTCACCAGTTGGTGGGAAAGATGTCTATTCCTGAAGTAAGGTGGCGAATTGGGGTACCAATTTTGTGGGTTTTAGGGAGACTAGAAAGGTTGGGTGTTCTGGGGTGATATTATTTGAGTCTGTGCCATTTTTTCTTTCGTTTTTAATTAGTTTCCTGATTGTGAAAGTTCTATTAATATATTTAATTTATATATATATATATATATATATATATATATATATATATGAAATGAAAAAGAATCGAATATAAATTTCGACGTTCGTAACATTAATTCAAAATGCAATACAAAAAATAGAGCAATATTCTTTATTTTAGGTTATTACATCAACATGTAGAATAACGCTACACAAATGCAATCATGTTTCAATGTATATTAACACATCTCATCAAGTGGTAGTAAATGATTCGTTAGTAGACGATTTATTGAGATTCATATAAATATATATATATATATATATATGTGTGTGTGTGTGTGTGTGTGGGGACTGACAATTGCCTTTAGCGCTTAGTATGAAACAGACTGTCACCTCTGAGTGTTAACTTCAATGTCCACTATTATATTTATATACGCTCTATTCCTGATATTGAGCACTTTAACCTATAAATATAGCATACCTGATAATCATTAGATAGATAGATAGATAGATAGATAGATAGATAGATAGATAGATACGAACAGAGATAGATAGATAGATAGATAGATAGATAGATAGATATGAAGAGACTTAAATAGATAGAAACTGAGAATAGATAGATAGATAGATAGATAGATAGATAGATAGATATAGATATTGAGACGAGATACATAATGAACAGACCGAGATTGATTGATATGCACAGATTAACATAGATATTGACACATGATAGATAGATAGATAGATAGATAGATAGATAATGAACAGACCGAGATAGATAGATTGATATGCACAGATTAACATAGATATTGACATATGATAGATAGATAGATAGATAGATAGATAGATATTACAGAGCACAAATATTTATGAATTTACATGACCCTTAATGACCTGTCTTCCAGATCAAAGATAAATTCATTAATAATTATATTGGACATGCCACTACATACATGCCTATGAAGAAGACTCATATTACATCTCTCAGACCATAGCTCTGTTAGGTTCCATTTAAACACATGGGCAGAAACCGTTCAGACTCCGTCTACAGCATACTTGTGGAAATTCTGAAAAATAATAAGTTCATCCATATATATATATATATATATATATATATATATATATATATATATAGTGTTAATTTGGAATTCTATTTTGAAGCCAAAATTGCTGGTTTTTCAGTGGTTTGTTGATAAGGAGGCATTTAAAGCAAGCAGGATTTGTGGTAAATTGCTCAGTATCGAAGACAGAGATAGAACGTTAATAGAATTAATATAAAAATGTTTTTTTTCCCTTTTTCACTTCTGAGTTTTATTTCTATATAGGTATAACCACTCTTCGGAACAGAGTTAATCTGCTATAATTTCTCGATTCTCCTGTACTTTTATTGATGTAAGTGTGTTATTTATTTGCTTTCGCTTTGATGAGAGTTGATTGATTGCTGATTTCTCTTCTTCTTCCGTGAAAGAAGAGTTTTGTTGTTGACGATGTTAAACCAATTGTTTCTTTTTTTGTGTAGGTGTTAAATTACATATATATGATTTAAAAATAGGATATAAAATCCCGACAAAGTTTTTAAAACAATTTTAAAATTGGAAATATTCTTGAAATTAGATTTATTTAGAAAATATATTCGATAATACATTTTACCATTCTTCTTTAGTCACGAGAAAGGCCAACTTAGGGAAAACCTAAGTAAGAATCATTATCTATCAGTATTTCTGAGATGAGGTATTATGTACATTATTTACATTATTCGGACTATTGTCCTCATCTTTGTCGCCATATTTATTACAACGTTTCGGCCCTTCAGTATCTGTCTATTTTTCTGAGATGGGGTATTATGTACATTATTTACATTATTCGGACTATTGTCCTCATCTTTGTCACTATATTTATTACAACGTTTCGGCCTTTCAGTATCTGTCTATATTTCTGAGATGATGTATTATGTACACTATTTACATTATTCGGACTATTGTCCTCATCTTTGTCGCCATATTTATCACAACGTTTCGGCCATTGTACGCTCTTGCCTTCTTCAGGTGGTTGGAATGTCGAAGTGAACCCTTTATTTCGCTCAGTGGGGTAGACTGTTCTAGTTCCACGTGCCATGTTTAATGGATGTCAGATATCAGTTATCTCCTGTCCTCAAAGAGTGTGAGTTCAATACCCGGTTAAGGCAGTGGAGAACTTTCAGAGGGAAATTAACAGGAAATAAGTGATGACTGACAGCCATTAAACATGGCACGTGGAACTAGAACAGTCTACGCCAGTTCGACATTCCAACCAGCTGAAGAAGGCCGGAGCGTACAACGGCTGAAACGTTGTAATAAATATGTCGACAACGGTGAGGACAATAGTTCAAATCATGTAAATAATGTACATAATACCTCATCTCAGAAATATTGAGAGATAATGATTCTTAGTTACGTTTTCCCTAAGTTGGCCTTTCTTGTGACTAAAGAAGAAAGAAATCAGTGACTTTTAAAAAAAAGCCGTTATCATTTATTTTCGTTACTCTCTGTTCGAGCCAAAAGTTGTTTCACATTTTCCCAGCTTTCCTGTATCAAATTAAAGGTAAATCCTCTTCTCCTTATCAGAATGGATCGAAAGTAAGGAATTTATTTAGCCTTTTCTGAAAATGAATCCAAGGAAAATTCTGGAATAATCCTTCAGAATGAGTTGAAAGTAAAGTTTCGGGGTTTTTTTTTGGGGGGGGGGTATTGTTATTATCCACGCGTTTTTTGTTTACTTGTTTTTGTTTTTTGTTTTTTTGTTTTGTTTTTTTGGTTTTTTGGTTTTGTTTATCCATGCGAACAGAGTGAATGAAGATATTCGATCGAAATTATTTTGTTTTTGGTAAAATTCAGGTAGCATCCAAGACGAAAAAATATAATCGAAATATGTTTTTTTGAAATGTGTTATTGATAACGGATACAAAATTTTGGAGCGTGCAGTCGCAACGCTAAGGTTGAATTGTTTTTTAAATTTAAGTGACTGCGTTATTTACTAATATGACATTTTCTAATACTAATATGACAAAATTATTTCCATACCTGAAGATGACTGAATGTACAGTCGAAAGTACTTGGGTATTTAAGGAAGATCTAATTCAGTTTATAATTTTAAGAAACAAGGATTATAGCATTCATCGAGTGATTGGTAGGTTAATGCATTTTTAAAATTTTGTTATTGAATGGATTTCGCCATTTTATATCATTAACTGTACTAATTTACTTTTTGTATGAATGATTCATTGTAATATATATATATATATATATATATATATATATATATATATATATATATATATATATATATAGAGAGAGAGAGAGAGAGAGAGAGAGAGATAGCTACTACTGTGGCCGCCACTGGTAAATTCGGTAACTAAAAATTTAAATCTTTTATAGACGGATAAAATGACTTTATGTTTTTTTAATAATATCAATAGAGAAACTGTGAGTGTTATGGAAACACAATAGCCCAAAATAAAAGCGTGACCAAAGACCTGTTGCTTGTGCAATGCCTACGCAAATTTCATGTTTGTGTCTTTTGTGTGTGTGGGTTCCACCTTATTCTTTCATTATTCTGCGCTCAGCTGAACCCTGTTCCATGAAAAGTATGGAAGCAAAAAAAATATGGAATTGGAAATCTTGGCGTGGGAAATATAAAAAAATAATTCAGTGCATTTGGACAATCAGAAAGACTATATATATATATATATATATATCGTGAGAAAGAGAGAGACGGAGAGAGAAAGAGAGAAATATAGAGACATCTGAGAACGAAGAGTATAATATTAAAAATAAGCAAAATGTCGAAAAAAGAAGTACAAAACATGGAAAATTGACTGTCACAAAATTATAGAAAAATGTCGAAAAAAAATGTTTAAAAAAGTGAAAAAGGGGGAAAGAAAGGCAAATAGAAAAATATCGAAGAAAGAAAGAAAGAAAAAATAACAAAGACAAAGAAGAAAAAATGAAAATGTAAAGAAAGAAAGAAAAAATCATAGAAGAAAGAAAGAAAGAACGAAAGAAAGAAAAAGACAAAGAAAAAGTCAAAGAAGAAAAATAAAGAAATAAATAAAGAAAGAAAGAAAATGAAAAGAAGGAAAAATACACAGAAGAAAGAAAGAAAGAAAGAAAGAAAGAAAGAAAGAAAAAGATATAGAAGAGTACAAGAAAGAAAGAAAGTGATAAAGAAGAAGGAAAGAAAGAAAAAGACAGAAGAAAGAAAAAAAAGAAAGTGATAAAGAAAGAAAAATACAAAGAGAATAAAAGAAAGAAAGAATGAAATGAAGAAAGAAAGAAAAGAAAATGATAAAAAAGGGAAGAAAGAAAAAGGCACAGAAGAATAAATAATAGAAAGAAAAAGAAACAAGAAAGAAAGAAAATAATAAAAAAGAAGAAAAAAAGAAAAGGGCATAGAAGAATAAAAAATAGAAAGAAAGAAAGAAAGAACGAAAGAAAGAAAGAACGGTAAAAAGAGTCAGAAAACATTAAAAAGAACAGAAATAAATTCAAAAGCGGAAACAAAAAAAAAAACAAAGAAAGACAAAGAATGAATAAATATGTAATATAGAGAATAAAAAAGTAAAGAGAAAAATAAAATAGAAAACAAATAAAAGAGAAAATAAAAGATAGAAAAAAGAATGACAAGGAGGCAGTAAAAAGATAAAGAAAAGGAGAAAATATAATTAAAAGTAAAAGTCGAAATTTGGAAAGACGAAAAAAGGAAGGAAAAAAAAAGAAAAATGTTAAAGAATAAGTAATATAAAAATAGATAAAAGAAAGAAAGAGTGAAATAACCGATGAAAAGAAAGAAAAAATTTAAAAAAAGAAAAAAGAATTCATTTCGAATGTAAAACAGAACAGAAAGAGGCGCAAAAGCAAAATAATGAAATAAAAACACTATACATGCCCGCGTATCATGCGAGCTTTGAAGATCTAATTTTGAAGCTAATTTGACTACAGTAAAGGAATATATAGTTTGGTCAACGGCGTAGCCAGGGCTAACACTACATAAGCTAACTTTATATCTCGTATATAATACGACCCTCTTAAAATTCGCTTCAAAATTAGGTCTTCAAAAGTCACAAGATACGCGAGTATATACGGCAGTTACTTTTGTACAGTAACTGACTTACGACAATACGCCAGACTCAATATAAAACAAATATCAATCGGGCACCTCGAGGTGGTGTAATGGTTAGCAAGCTTGTCTGGCTAGAACAATTACGACTGAGTAGTGAGTTCGATCCTCACTGGGTGCCCCATACTTTCGGCCTTGTGCCACATCTAAGCTACGCTTGGAAAATCACTAGAACAAATATCAATCTATACAATAATGACCTGTTTCTGTATGTTTGTAACAGTAAAAATGGCATATTGTAGGGAAATAAGAACATACAATTAAAATACTCAAACTTTAAGAATAAAGCATTTCAAATCTAATTTATTTTCAATCATTTTTATCCAAGCAAGGCTACAACTCCACAGAGACGCAAGGGGTTACTGAGAGTGAAAGAAGAGGGTTATTGAAGAGAAAAGGATATAAAATAACAAGATTCAGGAAGACAGAAGATGGCGATTGATGCTGCATTTAAACTTTCAACGATCAAAGTTGACTTGAAAACAAGAAGCCGGAAGATAATTCAACAGAGAAGAAAATATTGGAATAGAATAGAATATAATTTACGGTTCAATCTACCGATTTCAATCAGTAAAATAATGAGACCTATTTGCCAATCTAGTACTGCGTCTGGATTCTCCCGTCTGCTTAATTCGATTCCTAAGAACAGACAGCCAGACACCTGAAAATATGATTTGATGATATTGGTGAAGGCTTTGTGCAGAACCAACCACACTTTTTGAAGAGCCACAAGCACGTACCACAAGTTCTCCAAAACAACTTATTTCTTTCCCCAAGGCAACTTATTTACCTATAGCTGGGGGAGAAAAGAGGATTTATACTTTTTCCAAGGGTATTAGCACGTAAATAAATGCAATTGATCCGACTGGAATTGGAACTCGGCTCTCCGATTCCTCAATCCTAGCCGCTATCCATTACTCCACCGTGCCACAAGTAACAAAGACCAAAGCTCATCACAACAATTGTCATGATTTATATTTAAAAAAAAAAACACAGAGGAAAGCTACGTCACGGCGATGGGAAAATGACTGAAGTTGAGATGCCAGGTCAGAACCAATAATATTACAGACCTTTTTTTGGATTTTATCAAGTATCTTGAGATATATAGCAGGCGTACAAGACGAGATGTAGCAGCAATATTCGATGCACATGTTAGATTTATAAACGTGCAAGATGGATTCTGATGAGAACATTTATCTAGCACGGCACAGTGAAGCAACTTTCTTTGGAGCAGACCTTATTGATTCAATATAACTAGAAATTAATAATTGTTACGGTGTTACGTTCGTGCTCACCCCTATAATAATGATCCTATTTTGTATGTTTTTGCTTGGATTTGTTATAAAAATATGTAAAGAGAATTATATCAGAATTGAAAGATGAAAATGATCAAAAGTTTGCTAATTGCAGGATGCGTTTTGTGGTGTAATGGATATCGGCCCGGCGTGAATACTCCACGTTAGTTAGATTCACTTTCGGACAAATCATCCCAGGGTTGAATAGCAAGACAGATTGGGTTATTTAGCCTTGGTTGGCAACCAGTCTACCGCAGAAAAATGGCATCCTACTGCGAAAAAGAAATCTGCATCATCAGTCATGTATCTTTCGATACATGATCGCCTAAGCGTGTATCACTTATGGCATTTGATTGACTGACATTTTCGAACACTTACTCACAGCAGCAGAAAAAAATGGCATCCTAATGCGAGAAAAAATCTGCCTCGTCAGTCATGTATCGAAAGATACTTGATCGCCTAAGCGTGTATCACTTATGGCATTGGTTTATACTGTAACTGTAGTGAGTTGCGGTGTAACGGATATTGGCTCGGAATTCGAACTCGGAGAGCCGAGTTCGAATCCTAGTCTTACATACAAATACCCTTGGGAAAGGTATGAACTCATCTCTTCTTCTCCCAGGTATGGGCTGAATAGAAGGACAGACTGGATTCTTTAGCTTTTGTTGGCAAGGAAATGGCAACCTACTGCGGCGGAAACAGGTACATGATCGCATAAGCATTTATGACACTTGACTGAATTACACGATAAAATGATATTGACCAAATAACGATAATTTCATTTTGTTAAATGCTATTTTGGAAAAATAAAAATCAACCGCTAATTACAAAGAAGTTAACCTTATTTACTATTTACAACATATAAATTCCATAAACAATGAATGATTTAACATCGAACTTATCAGTCATCTTTGGCGGCCTTTAAGCTAGTTAAAAAAATCAAGGAAATATAGGTTTAATTGAAGTGAACTGTAACGAAATTATCAGAGAGAGATTTATGGGTGTTTATTATATGATTTATTTTCATTATGACAGCGTCTGAAACAATCTTCAGGTAAATATCAGAGTTGCTATAAATTTGGGTGAGAAAAATATGGAAGGAAATAAGAGGATAGGGTCAAGAAAGGACGAACAGCAAAAAGAAAGAACGGTAGCAATGAAAGAGAATCAAAAGAAAGAAAGACAAGCAGACGAAGCAAAAGAAAGTAAGAAACAGGGGAGAGAAAGCGGCGAAAGATAAAAACACGAATGAATTTAAAAAAAATGAAGGCAGGAGAACAAGGAAAGAAAAACGAAACGGAATAATCGATGGAATGAGAGTTACACGAAACAAAAGAACAAAAACGAAACGAAGAAGAAATGAGAGAAAGTAGAAAGGAAAGGAAAACGAAAAAATCGAGGAAAGCCTGCAACGAAAGAAAAACAAAACAAACAGGGGAAAAAATGGCAAAGTAAAAAGAAAATGAAAGAAAGAATGAAACTATGAATAAAAACAACGAAAGAAAAAAAAAACACAGTGGAAAAAGAAAATGAGAATGAAAAAGACGAAGGAAAGAAAAATAGAAAAAAAAGTATCAAAAGAAAAAAATTAATGAACAAAAGAAATTAACGAAAGGAAAAAAAAACAAAAGAAACAAACAAACAAAAGAAAGAAATTAATGAAGGAAAAAAGAAACAAAAGTAAGGAAAAAACGCGCGAAAGAAAGACACGAAATAAAAAGAAGGAAATACGCGAAAGAAGGCAACGAAAGAAAAAAAGAAGCAAAAAGGTAGAAACAAACGAAAAAGAAATGGAGAAAAAAGAAACAAAAGTAAGAAAGAAATGCGTGAAAGAAAGAAACGAGATAAAAAGAAGCAAAAAAAGCCACAAATGAAAAAAGAAAGAAAAAGAAACGAACGAAAAGTAACGAAAGAAAGCAAAGAAAGAAACACAAGGAAGAAAGAAAGAAAGCAACAAAAGAAAAAAGGAATACAAGAAACAAAGAAAACCACGAATAAAAAACAAAAAAGAAACAAAAGAAAGAAACACAAGAAAGAAAACGTCGAAAGAAATAAGAAACAAAGTGAGAAAGAAATATGCGAAAGAAAGCAATAAAATAAAAAAGAAAAAAGAAAGAAAAAACGAGCGACAAAAAAGAAACAATGATAAAAAAAACGAAACAGGAGATAGAAGCGAGGGGAAGATAACTGCGAAAGAAAAAACAAAGTCAGAGTCTTTGAGAAAATTAAGACTAGAGAAAAGAAACTCTTCCAGATTGAAAGGTTTAGAAATGCCTGGATGGTTAAAAATATGGATGGTTCCTTTCCTTAAATCAAACATAAAAGAAACGAATATAGAATCCTGTGGCGTGAAATAAATCATATGTACTCAAAACTTTTCCACCCACTTTTCTGTATGTTCATAAAATGCAAAACTTATTTTACTCTTGTCACATGTATCTCTTCAGAGATCTGCCTCAATCTAGCTATTTGATAAGCGTGTCAATATGGCGTGTGACACAACTACACTTTGTTAAGCAGCTCTGAATCACTTTTGTAGTCACCGATGCACGTCACATAAAACATAATTTTGTACACGCATGAATGCCGAAAAGAATGACCATCCACGTCACTTTCAATAATTTCCCAGAATTCATTTCACCTGTCAATTGACGTTGCCGCAAGTGAATAGACAAGGAAGAAGCAATAATTTCCCCCCACTTTTTTTTTGTGGAAATAGAAAAAAAAACGACAAAAAAAAAAATGATGAGGCAAAATCAAAAAATTAATCGCCAATTTTTGGAATCATTTTTTAAAGATGTGAGCAGATAAAACCGATGTATTGAAAGAAAGAAAGAAAGAAAGAAAGAAAGAAAGAAAGAAGCGGAAATGTGGTAAAAAAGAAAGAAACAAGAAAGAAAGAAAGAAAGAATAAAAGAAAGAATCAGGGTATAAGCAAAAGAAAGAAAGAAAGAAAGAAAGAAAGAAAGAAAGAAAGAA